GCGAAATATCTTTCATTTTTCGGAACAAAGAGGAAATCGACGAGACAGCGGATTGATCCGTACTCGCGCGAAGCGTGACGTATGTCATGCGAATGTCTGATCGAGATTAGGGATGGGATTAATTAAGTTCAATATGTATTTAAAATTCGAATCAAATCCAATAATCAAGTTTCATTTCCTTGGATTCAAATGATATTCGTAAGAAATAATATTTCATACATTGTACTTTGTACTTGCTATAAGTAATCGAATCCCGATTAGTTAGTTTCGAAATTTAGAATGAGTGTCTGCAGGATTCGAAACGTATTTATAAGTGTTTCCATCGTAAAGAGAATCGAATCTTTTACAATACACAGATAAAAAAGAATATTCTTGATTTGAAAATGTCTTTAGTTTCAACGTGAAAATCTTGAAATGAGATTGTATTGTGTTAAAGTCATTTTATATTATATAGTACGACCAAGAAAATAAATTGAATTAAAAAGTTGAAATTCTTATTAAGAAGATTATAGATTGTTGCGAATATATGAGTATGTAAGTTTTGACCACACCTCTTTTTTTCTGCGTAGTGTTCGAATATGTCATGTTATTATAATGCATAAGTTATATATCATGTACAATTGTAATAAAGAGATATTTATGTGCGTACAAACACACATTATGTTTCACATATTAAATTTCTAGTAAAGTACTCGTAAAAGATTCAAACATATTTGATCCAAGTTCGAGTCTACTTGGAAGTAACTTTTACTTGAAAGTAACTTGTTTTTTGAGGTACTTATAGATAGTTCGTACTCATTTCGTTCAGATTCGAGTATACTTGAAGTAACTTTGAACGAGCTTTTATTTTTCAAAGTAATTATAGAGAGTTCGAAACTACGCCAACAGACTCGAACCTAATTATGCAAGGGCCGGTTGTTCCAACCTGTTGGTAAACTAACTAATAGTTAAATCATATTATATGTCTTTGTTTTTGTTTCCTTTAAATTAGATAAAGATAAACATATGATTTAACTATTAGTTAGTTTACCAACAACCGGCCTTTACATAAGTAGGGTTCGAGTCTGTTGGCGTAGTTTCGAACTCTTTATAATTATTTCGAAAAATAAAAGCTTGTTCAAGTATACCTAAAGTATACTTCAAGTATACTTGCTTGAATCTGAACGAAATGAGTTCGGATCAGCCCTGAGATACTTAATCCCATCGCTAACTGACGTCGAGACTCGACATTGAAACAACAACAACGAGATGAGAGGATCGCGGAATCTCGTCCCGTGATTACGTCGTCGAAAGAACTCGTGCCCCGCGTATACGGTGCATGCTATTTGGAGCGTGCTCGCCGTCTCGGCGCGCTGCGCATTGTGCATGCATGCGGTCTCCGGGGTGGCGTCCTCCCCTCGCTCGCGCGCCGGGACAGTGTAGAGTCGGGGGGCAGGGGAGGGTGGAGGGGTTGAGCGCCAGGGCTGTATCCGCACCTTGCCGTCAATCAATAATCCGCGCACTTCCGCCTTCGCTTGAAGCGGAATCGGGAGGTTTTTTTCCCCTCCGACGACAACGAACGCCGTCGAGGCTCCTCGACGGTCGTGGATACATTGACACCGCGTGCGATATTACTTCCGAGTCAAAAAACGAATTGATCTCGATATCGAATTAACGACTTTCTCTTGAAATACGTAATACTTGTTTGGTTTCGTTAATCTTCTGCGAAATGTATAAAAGATACGCAATTGTAAATATCTGAGCTTTCGCCTCGCGGTTATCTCGAGCAAGTGAAATGATGAGCGTCGAGTTTCACCCATTTTTGTTCTTATTCTATTCTTTATTGAATTTTTTAGATGCGGAACACACCCATAAGACGCAAAACGCAAACAGCTCGATTATTAACTAAATTATTAGCAAAATTTCCCTTTTTGACGTAAACGAATGACATTCTGGTATTTTATTTTCACGAGAAGGGGAGGTTCTATTGCAATTTACCCAAAATTTCCCCGATTAAGGCGAAAAACGTTGTCAAACGTTTTTTGTCACCAAGACCAGTTCGAAGCCGCGATATACCTTTTATCGCGGCGCGGCAACGGAACGGGAGGCGAGGGGCGCCGTGCGCTCGCGCCCGGCCCTGGGTGGGTGCCCCCGCTCCCGTCGCGTGCAACAACGCGAGCTGAACGTTCGCCATATCGTCGGGACTTGTCGAGAGTGCTGGCTGGTGAATTACGGCGCGATACGTTGCTGCGCTCGGCGAGATCGAGCTCGCGTAGGCGCCGTTCCGTCGAGCTGACGTTCGTCGAACCTCCGGACGACCCGTTCGAGCCGTGGGGCTCGCGACACCCCGTCGCACCACGGTGAGTAGAACCGTCGACGTAGCGGGCCGTAGGGACGAAAGTTGGTGACCGAGGGGCGCGATCAGCGATTCTCGACCTTAGGGTCGCCGTCCCTCGCGGCTGCACTTTCTGCACTCCCGCGCGGACACCTCGGCCCGCCGAACTCGGCGACTCGCGGCCGACGGAAGCGCATCCGTGGAGTTTTCCTAATTCCATCTCATACTCTACTCCGATTTCTCTTCCTTGCTCCGGAATCAAGTGCACGCACTTGTCACGTCCCGGGTGCGGAAGGTGCAGCTGAACATGTGGGCGTCCGTTTCCTTTTAACGCGGCTGCACTCTCGCACACTTTCTGCATTCGGAGTGAAATAGGTGTAAATTTATTATTTAAACGTTTAAAAAGAGAAAGGAACAAAGCGCAGAGAGTGCAACTGAAATTAAAAGGAGATTAACGCTTAAAAATTATCAAAATTAAAAACTTGCAAAATATGTATTATCAATCAATTGTTTCGGAATTTATTGTCACAGAAACTTACGTGATAATTTATATTGAATAATTGTATTTATTTCATCCGTGTTATAAAATATATATTATCTTGTCATGACAGGAAACTATTGTACGAATCGAGATATAACATGGAGCTGGCTAAGGAAAAAGCGAAAGCTAGTACGCAGGCCGCTGTTGCTGATAAAAGTAAAGCAACAAAGGAGCCAGAAGTAACGGACGCGGAGAAGAAGGTAAAACTCTAAATCATTATGTTGCACCTATTTTTATATACAATTTGCATTTTTCTTTAAAAAAAAAAGTCATATAAAATTTGTTTATACACGTTGAAATTTTAATATAATAACTTACCGATGTGTACTTTAGATTTAGTAAATATTGTGTCGAACAGTTTTCTGCAATCTAAAATTGGCAATTTGCTTGACACGCGTCGATTTATTCTCATTGTAGAAACACGAGGAACGCAAGAGCGTCTCCACCGGCAAGCCAAAGAAGACAGTCGCGAAGATCAAGATGAAGAAAGCTCGGAACGTGGGCGAGACGAGTTACGATCCCACAAAACTGGAGGACAGTCCGGCCCAGGTGCTGGAACGTTTCAAGAGAGGCTGCGAATGCGTCGACGATCAGTGCTTCAAGGACCTAAATCCCGAGGTGGTTTATCGGCACAGGCTAAATATCGCGGAGCTAACTAAGGCCGAGCACGACATGTATTTGATGGGCGTGACAATGGCCTGTCTGACGGATCCCTATCAAACTGCCCGTCACACGGAGCGACGTAGATTACGCGCGCAGTACGTTTATCAGGGGCGCAGGGTCTGCCTGGACGCTTTTCTGTACTTGGAGAACTGCACGCATTATCAGATCAAGCGGATCCGGAAGCATCTGATGACGCACGGCGTGACGCCGCGCGTGCACGGCAATCACGGCAAGGTGCCGCACAACACGTTCTCGCTGGACATATACAAGATCGCGACGGAGTTCCTGAAGAGCTTCATCGAGGTGCAGGAGACGAAGCAGAAGACCAAGCTCGCCAAGAACGCGCCGTTGCACCTGCCGCCGGACGTCACGCGGAAAACGGTTCACGATCTGTACACGCAGTACTGCAAGAAAGTGTCGCCCAACGTCAAGAACATGGGCTACTCGACGTTTCGGCGCTTCATGAAGGTGCAGTTCCCGCAGGTGAAGTTCGCCAAGCTCGAGTTCGTCGTGAGAAATCAGAGCGCGCAGAATCACTGCACGGCCGAGCCTGACGCGAGAGACGATACGGGCCAACGGAAATCGCCCAAGTCGGACCTGGAGGCGAAGGGTGGCGCGATACTGCCGTTGGTGATAACCGGCGATCTAGGACAGAGCGAGACCTACGTGCTGACGCCTATCAGAAAATTGCAGGACTGCACCGTGAGTTATCAGGTCACTACGCGCGGGCTGGTAGTTAACAGTCCTGCTATCACCCTGTCGAAAACGAAAGCGGTGTAACGTGGAAGACTTGTGAAAACAAAATGTGAAAATAGTTTTGTACAGAATATATGCATGTGATATATATGTCTGCTCTGTGAGGCTCCAATCCCTTCCGGGTCTTAAACTGAGAATCCAGTAATATATATAATATGAGAAATATGTATGATAATCCCTTAATATATACGAAATTATATATACACAAGTATATAAAGAACGTAACTTATGCCTGTATTAAATACAGTTTTGTTAAAATATATCTCTTGTTATATAGCATTTTATTGAAGACAAGTAAATAACGTTTTATCAAAAACCTGCATGTAACGATAACTGCACGAAATATTCCTACGACCAATAAAAAGCATTTAGCCAAATGTTTATAGATAATATATCCACAGATAAGACTTATATCGTAATAGAAGCGACGCGAACGTTAATTACATTATATTTGTTAAAAATATATAGTCTATCTCATTTCATGTAATAAAAATTTTTTCTTTGAAACTATGAAGTATAATTTATTTTTTTATATGACCCTCCATTACTACCCTTTTGTACGAACAGTTCAATAATCTGACGCCCAAAAGTAAAGGAATTTCGATGTTTCTTCTTCCTTCCGCGAATTCCAGACATGGAAATCAAGTATATAACTATAGTAACAGCTGCAGTGCTTCTCAATTCATGCACAAACGCAAACTCCTTACAGTCACTCATTACTAACTACAAATATTATGTATGTATAATTTATACATTTTATTTGCAGCGTGTACGTGTAAAAGAATACATTTGATGTTCATTCCCATATGAAACAAAATAAATTGAGTTTAAATTAAGATCAATCACAACTGTCAGATAAAATCTAAAATTTGATTATTGCGTAGCACGTTAAATTCTAGTTGCAATTATTATAGAAATCTGTAATAAAAATAGTTTCAGAAATGTCAAAAATTACAGGCGCGTCAATATTATAATTTATAATTAATCTCGTTCCCTTCCAATGGCCTTCGCATATCTGAAGTTCAGTTTTCTATACGAGCAAGCATGGGCGTTAAACCGTTGCGGGACTAGGTGCTTTCTAGAATGTATCGGCAGTTAGAAATTAACTACCTCGTCTTTCGAGATTCTTGGCATAATTAAGGATATAGTCTCCCGTTTGAGAGCCTCTTGGTTTACAGTTATATCAGCAATATTGTGGGTACTGCAGGGAACTGTTTCAGCTCAGTGGCATCAGCAAGGTCATGTGAGTGCAACCTCTGATCGGGTACTCGCATTCAGTACACCAGCGAGACCTGAGCCGTGCGTTCACAGTAAACATTGCATAAGAGAGTGCCAACTGGAATTGTTAGGTCACTTTAGTTTTTCACTATAATTTAGCGACAACTGTGATACTCACTGAAGTGCAGTGTTCTCTCAAATAATTCGGCATGCGTTTTTTTTATTCTAATTTAAGAAGAAAATACATGGTAAAAATTTTTACCGCTGTAATTACGTTAAACATATTCAGGGGATTTATATTATAAGCGTATACCTATGTGTAATAATATCTATATGTTGCAAATATCCAAATACATGAAATAACAGAGGAAGTAATTTCTAATTAATTTCTGTGTCAAGCAATTTTGAAATTTGCCACATTTTTTATCAATCTTGATATTTATAGGAAATTAATTACGAATTATTAATTTTTTTAAGCACACACACAACACTGTAAACCTAAAATATATTCTCAAAAATATTAGTGTAATAACGGAAAGGGTAATATTTGATTCCAGAAGATGTAGAGAGTATGACAGGCGAGATAGAAAATGGAGACTTGGCAGTTCGAGACGTTGCAGACCTTCTCCAAGCACAATATGCTATTATTGCTGGTAAATATTTAATTCTCTAAGCTGCTCTGAGATTTTACTTCTGTCAAGGGATAAGTTTTTAAACAGCCTCTTTCTCGCCCGTTTTTTTTTAGGAGGAAAAACGCGAGAGGGATGTCCTATAATCACATTTCCGGACAATGGCAATTTTCATAATTTGACTGATTTGGACTATCAGCGTCTCATGTTGTATCTTACTTCTGTGCCAACGTAAGGATATAGCTGATTGATTTAACGTGATTAATTTAGGCATAAAACGTTTCATTTTTTTTACTGTACGATTAAATCACTTGAATCAAATTAAATTACATTTGTATTTTAAATTTTATCACTCAGGTTGCAGGAGGCTGATCTTGGGTTTCATTTGATAATTGACCGGAGAAACGACAAGTGGAATTCAGTGAAAACGGTGCTTCTAAAAATTTCTGTAAGTGCATTCAACGCGTTGCGTAATAATTCATACGCGTTTATCTGTCTTAAAAAAAATATAGAAAGTATATAAATTGAGATATAATTGTTCTCATCACACACATAAATTCTTGGCTTTTCTTTCCAGGCATTTTTCCCCGGCTTGGTACACGTCGCGTATGTGCTACGACCAGTCGGATTTTTACAAAAGGCCATTTCGGAAGTGTCGAATAAATTATTTCGGGAGGATTTCAAATTCAGGGTCATATTCTTAGCCAACATCACCGAGCTGCACGAATTCATAGACACGGAACAGCTCACCGAGCAACTCGGCGGTGATTTGCCGTATTGCCATCACACGTGGATACAGAACAGAATTGTAAATATGTCAAAATGAATTTATACAATACTGGAATTAACTTGTGTAATCTGTATCAATGAATGTGTTATTCTCTCTGTGCGCAGAGTTTGGAAAAGTTTTCATCGATGACGCAGGACGTGTCCCTCGCGTTAGACTCTTTCACGCGACGTTTGGCCGAGGTGGAATTTCCTAACAATACTATCGCCACGACAACGCTATTGTCGCAGCAACAAGCTGAATATAACGAGTTAAAGGAAGAGATACTTAGCGCTGCCAGACACGGAGAAGCTCTTTTGGATAGCGTACGGCAGCTAACTGGAAAAGGAACGGCCGACAGATTAGGAAATGTTGCTGCAGTAGAGAGGTAACGTGAAACATTCAATAAATTGAATAATAAAATAACTATTTTTATATAATATTCGTGAATTTCGCAAATCATTCGCGTTTCGCTCGATTTAATTAACTTAGCAAGTAAGAAACTAAAATAACAAATCTATAAATCTATTAATTAGATATATTCTTGGACTGTTGTAACATGTCGGATATACTGTAGTTTTTTTAACGTTCTAATTCAATTTTAGATTACTCGTTCAGTTGGAGGAAACCGAGCGAACCTTCGACTTGTTTTGGTCGCATCATAGCTCACGTTTGAGGCACTGTCTGGCTTTGCGGCAATTTGAACAAGATTTCCGAGAGTTGCAAGCGACGTTAGATCAGCATCTAAAGACGGCGGAAGAAATGACGGAAGTCGGCGAGACGCAAGCGAGAGTGGAGCAATTGTTGCACGACACATCGGCATTTCAGCGAATATGCAGAGTACGTGGCATTTTTTTTGTAATTAGTAATTTCTCGACGAGATACTGCAATATAATCGAATTAACGTACTTGATCGTTTTACTGGTAAAATACTTAACGAGAATCTTCGGGAGTTTTGCATCAAATAGCGTATAAAGATAAAAGTTGTCCCTACAGTATAAAATAGTTGTTTGTTGAAATATAATGTTAAAGACCCATTATATGAAGATAATGTGATTGTATGAAGTCTTAATGAAAGCAATTCAACAACATTGCTAACTTTGGACTTCAGAATGTACACATTGCACTCAAAGCACCAAAATGCACTTTTCAAACCAGTATTTTTTTATTAATTATGAAAAACCATTTCTCTTCTTACGATTTAAAAATTCCGTAACAATAAGATAGAAGTGCAATAATTATATTTGCGAATCGTGATTATGCTAGGAACGAATTTATCACTTAAATATCTGTCATCGTGTTTATATGTACCACGTAAATTCTGGTTTGAACGTGATTATCAGCAGTAAAACATATATATATATAAACGCACATCATGCACAAATGTTACTTTGCACCGCTTTCCTCATTTTGTCGATAGTCCTATTTGTTGCATACCATGTGGATTTGGGTCTTGGTAAGCAATCCACTTAACAAAATACATGTATTCTATAATAGAGTTTATACATTTTGAGACACAGTGATTTTGATATATATATTTTAGCATCTACGTATCACGTATATATCTCAATCTTATACTTATCATGTCTTGGAGTCAAATAGAAAGCGTTACGTTTCGACAAGTATTTCCGTAGGCGCTACATGAATTTAAATTTTGATTACACGTTATTTACCGTTTTAAGCTAATATATCTTACTTTCGTTTCTCTTACTTCTTTTAGTTGAAATGCACGCATAAGTGTCATCGGAAAACCGGTGGAGATTTGATTCATGTCCGATCACCGGCACGATGAACTTTTGAGAATGTGACTATCATTATGATTTCTCGATCTCTGCATTGCACGCAATATAATAGTATTCTTTTTCCTTTTACGAGAAGCTTTCTTTCTTTTTAGACGATTTAATGAGACTAAGAAACATGCCATGGTTGTGTTCGTAGCACCTTCATTTCATATATCAACATAATCGCGTTGTCGTGCATAAATATAATTATATGTGTTTATAGGGAGACATAGATCGCGCGGAGGAGGTGATATCCGCTGGTCAACAGCTATTGTCCGGCAGGCATCAGTGCCCGGCGGACGTAGTGGAGCCCAAATGCGTGGAGTTGCAGAGAGTCTGCACCATTCTCAGTCAGAGACTGGAGAGGCGACTGCACATGCTGACCAAGTGCAGGGAACTTATGGAGCGTATAGATAAGGTACGCCCAGCTCGCTTTTCAGATCTACTTGCTCTCCTTTCGATTAAAGAGTAAATCCTTTGTTTAACCGACTAGGCTAACGCATGGTGTACGCGAGGGATAGAATTGTTAGCGTCGCAGAACAGCACCACGCTACCGGATCAGGCGCTCCAAGAGCTGCAGCAGTTGATCGAAGCCGCGGAGGAATTCCACCATCCCCGATGTATCTTCCAGGATTCCGTGATGCCGGAAACTAAAGCGCTCATCACGCAGGTGCGTATATTTCCGAAATATTTCTGATTATCTGAGATGCGTGTCTCGATCCGAAATCTGTCTCGTAGGTTCTGCAAAGGATAGAAGATGTGTCCTTGATGTGCGACAAGAGGATAATGGCACTAAAACAGCAGTTGATCAAACCAGCCAGACCAGTACAAACCGTTACTCCAGAACCAGTCAAACCCTTACAATCACTGCCTCAAATCGTAAAGTCTGGCAGAATTCTCAAGAAAGCTAATACCATGCCAAAGGTAAATTTTCTTTTCTGCTTATAGGTGGTTATATGTTAGTTTTATATCATTTTATAAATTTCTGACATCATATATAACTTTTCTACTTATCTTTGTTTAAGATGGAGATGAGTCCTATAGAGGGAGAGTCTTCGTCGCCGGAGAGCGAACCACGGGACGTCGAAGCTTTGCGCTTAAAGCGCGGTCACGTCTTGGCGGAACTCGTGGAAACCGAGCGAATCTACGTCGCCGAACTTGGCTCGATCGTTAAAGGCTACAAGATGGAAATGACGAACGAGGCGATGGCTCATCTGATACCCGCGGCACTAGTTGGCAAAGCGGACGTGTTGTTTGGAAATTTAGAGGATATTTGTATTTTTCATGGGGAGACATTTCTAAGGGACTTGGAGAATTGCATTTCGAACACTGAGCTCGTCGCTTTGTGCTTTGTTCAAAGGGTGAGCGCACAGCACTTGTGTATACATGCTGTTATCTGCTTAAAATCTAATTTTACTTAATATTTTTAGCGCGAGATGTTCTTTAGATTGTACAGTTATTATTGTCAAAACATTCCGCGGTCTGAGAGATTGCGCGAACAGATACAGAGCGAGCCGCAGTTTCTCGCAGCCTGCCAGCAGAAGCTTGGCCACAAACTGCCGCTCGCCGCATACCTTCTCAAGCCCGTTCAGCGAATTACCAAGTATCAGTTGTTGTTAAAGGATTTGTTAAAGTATAGCGACGAACCTTCGTGCTGCACCGAGTTGCAGGAGGCACTGGATTGCATGCTGGTTGTGTTAAAATGCGTTAATGACAGCATGCATCAAACTGCGATAACGGGTTTTGGAGTAAGCACCTTTATTGGCTGTATTTCTTGATAGAAGATTATGGTTTATTATCTCTTATTATACTTCGTATCTCTGTATTTACAGGGCGATCTGAGTGCACAAGGTGAATTATTGTTACAAGGCTCGTTTAGTGTTTGGAGCAGCAGCAAGCGGGAGCGATTATTGCGACTAAAACCATCTCAACGACATATTTTCTTATACGAGAAGGCACTGATATTTTGTAAGCACAGCAAGCCTCAGGCCCACGACAAAGCCACGTATCATTTTAAGAGATATTTGAAGGTATCTTTCAATCTTAAAATTATCTCTCATTCTATTTAAGTGTAATTATCTAAGCGTTCTATTCATAATTCTATTTAATTGCAGATGTCGCAGATTGGTTTGACGGAATCGGTGAAAGGTGATGCTAAGCGATTCGAGATATGGTTGCAGGGTAGAGCTGAGGTGCACACGATACAAGCGCCGAGCATCGACGTGAAGCAATCCTGGGTACGTCAGATTAAAGGTGTTCTGATGTCCCAGCTAGCCGAACTTAAAGGCAAACAGAATTCGGCTCTTGGAAAATCCAATCACAAGTATGTAATTGTGTTGTTGAAAATTAATAATACTTCTATCCTTGGAATATTTCGTTATTTCTGCTTCTTCCAAAGGCCGTTGCGGCAAACTATTTCGTGGGAAGCTCAAGGCAGTATATCGGGCTCTCTGCGAACGTTATCCATCGACAGCAACAGCGTTATCTCTCACATGACCGATGTGTCGCAGTCCACGGAGGAGGATGTGGCGTGGAGTTCGGAAAACAGCAATACGGACGAGGAAGACGCCTTTGGTGACAATCCGGGACCGGCACCCGTGAGTCTTTCCTTCGTTGCAGAATTCAAGCGCCGAGACTAGATTTTACACTAGTGTAGAAACTTGAGAAATTTTTACGAACTAGGCTTCAACTTCTGTCGACTTTTCTTTTATTTTTTAAATTAATCTACGAGAATTGGAGACATCCGATCTCTTTTTGGCAATGATTTTTATAGTAATTTTATTGTGTTCTTAGCGTTTGAATCCTTTGCAGTATATCTTTTGACAGATAAATACATTTATCTTACGATCATAGGGCGGACGATACGTGGCGTTGGCCGATTACTGCGCGGTGGGACAGTCGGAAGTCACGATGCGCGAGGGTGATACCTTGGAGCTTCTCAAAGTCGGCTGTGCCGGCTGGTGGTTCGTCAAACTGATCGGCAGCGGCGTGGAGGGCTGGGCGCCCGCGGCATACCTTGAACCGATCAGTCGAAAAACGTCACGCAGCTCGCAGTCGGTGAACAGCCAAGAGACCATATGAAACAGGCGACTAACACACTAGAGAACGCGCTAGTGTGTTAGATCTTTGCTCGTCTCCGCAGATCGCCGCAGTCGCGTTGAGGGCCATTCCACCGTTCGGAACGGTAATCTCAAGGATTTTTCTAAGTGGCGGACAATTTTTTGGAAATCTTTTATAGCATTTTAAACGAGACGATGAGTTGCGTCATTTTGCGTACCTTTCTTATGCAACACACGGCGTATACAAGGTTTGTTGAGTGACGCCTTTGCGTTTGCGATACGAGGAACGTTAAGTTGAACAGGATTTTTACGTTCACGGGGATTTTATACTATAAATAATGCTTAACTGATCGCACTGCGGTCGATCGAACAAGAGTTGTCACAGTTGCATCCAGATTGGGCGAACTTGTTCGCGAGCACGAAACGGCGTTTACTGAATTGTACAAAATGTAGCGTTGAATTAAGCCGGGGTATATACGTGCACGCGCACAATGGATTACGAGACAGTCTCGTATATCGATCACTACAATTTCTATAATAACGTTGCACATGCTATGAAGAAGGAGACACGATACCGATGTTAAATCGCGCGCGTCCTCGCGTTCGGTTACTTGTAACTCGTTATAAGGAGAATCTGCATGAAGAAGTATGTAAGTATGTATTCTGTAAATGGTAGTTTCTACTTGCGACCCGAGTAATCAAATATCGGCTGTACGCGATTATTCCAAAGTTTAATATTGTTGTAAGAGAGACAGAGAGAAATGAACGCGTGACACTTTTGTCCATAGCGTTTTGTCGACGACGTCGCGTAAACTTCCTTTTGCCGATAAATGATCTTACCTTTGCTCGGTGTATTTTGCGATGTCGCGAGTAATTTAGACGTCGATCGTCGAACAAACGTTGCCGTTGTCGATCGCGTCAGTTGTGTATCATCATGTGTTGGCTTAGAGTTCTTAGAACCCTAGTTGCATCGTTCACAACCGAATAGTACAATTTAGCGCGGTCTTGCGAGCTTCGAGAGTATCCTAAGTGTTTCGTTTTTCCGAGGTCGCTTCCGGAGATTGAAATAATAGAATATTCGCAAAGATAGATCCTCCAAGCCTTCGAAGAAGGGGAGAAAAAAATGTGTGATAAAAGAAATCGAATTAGAACGATGCTTCTGCATGCTAATTACTGTAAACACATGCAGAGAACTGGAGAATGTTTAATTAATATTACGCCATTCTTAGGACGTTAGATATATTGTTGACGAGTCGTTGCGACCAAATAGGCTTGAGACGTTACTATGACTATATGTGAACCATCCGTTTCGGGGGGAGTAACGCGGTAATAGGTGGTGGGACGGAGGGGGTCCGAAAGAATCATATACACAACGTGTACACAAATTTTCTAGGAGGCTAAACGGTTAACACCAAGTAACACGCAATATCTGATACCGATAAAATCTTAACGCATAATATACTTTTAGGACTTATACAATAAGCAATCTAAGTTCTAGCGGATTTCATAACCCACCAATTTCATAAGTCTCTATTACGATATGACGATGTATAATAGTATCATTTGTACTGAAACGTTTGTACGGATACGGATAACATAATTTAAGGGCGATCACCCCGATCGCTATGATTTTCTCTCCGACGTCGCATGCGTTTGAATTGTGTCCGCTCCTATGATACGCAAAAAAAAAAGGACACGATTTTGTCGCAGCTTTTATTCATATAGCCTACATGAGTCTCTGCTTTTAGTATTTATAACCAGAGTATTATTAATTATTTGTGTACAGAGTTACTGATATTTATTAGATATTTATCAGATATATTTATTGCGTAGAGATTATTATTTATATCGCGATAAGTTACGGCGATCAGTGGTTTATACTGGCTGCTTCAGACTGATTTACAAACGATGTAACCGTAAACGCGCTGAAAGCTATTGTATAATTTATGCAATTTTGCGATTGCGTAAACTCTTCGATCACAAGTTATACGGGAATTCGTTTCTTCGTCGGGACACTGCGTTTACGAAACCTTTGCACCTCCGATCGTACAAGCACGGTATTCCTTTTGCGTCACGTCTGTTACTTTCCACGTCTCCTCGCATCTAGATTTGTAGCTACATCTACGTGTATTCATCCATTTGTACGCCGTCCTTATATATTGACCATAAAATTCCAATCAAACGAGTGACGTTAGTTTTAAAACGATGCGTTTCCTCGATCCGCGGCCGCTTTGCGTTGCGATATCGAAGGTAACGAACGTGCGGTCCGATTTCGTTTTGCAGGAGCGATTCTATGTAAAGATATAGGAGAAGACACCGGTGGCAGTTCATCTCGAACAAAACAAAGAAAAGCAGCAGTTAATAACGCCGCTCACGTCGTTATCGTCCGCGAACGTCTCCGCAAATTGTCACCTCGCCGGAAGTCCGTTCGTGGGCTTGGCGATTCCTCATCTGTGTAAAATCGCGGTTAAAAAGCGACCAAGCCCAAGGGTAATATCTAGACATGCAAGACGCGTTTTTTGTAGAATCTATAAATATATACACGTATATACATACATATACACAATACATATATACATATGCATAGACAATAATTATATACCCGCTGTTGGAGGAGTACATGACGGTGCGTTCGCAGCCGCAATAACGATAATTTCATTGATAAACGACCGAAGAAGCGATACTTCCCTCGGCGACCACCCGGGGCAAATAGAAGCAGGTTTCTGCGAGTGAATCTCTCGCCGTGGACGGAATTGTGTGGCGACATTGATAAATAAAAATCGCGTATGCGTGTGCAGTCTTTCGGGAAGAGGAAAGAAGAAGAAGAAGAGGAGGAGGAGGAAGAAACGCGGAGGAGTTCGACGTTTCGACCGCGGTTTCCTTTAACGGACGGTTCCTCTCGTCGTTCCTCGTCGGCGCAAAGGGAGGGTGATAGTAAAGTCTATTTTTGCATATAACACGTAACAAAGAGGCTGCCGAAATCTCTTCTATTTGCATTACGTATGTGTTCGCGCGATCATTTCTTCGCCGATTGTAATTAACGGCCGCTGCGCGCGCTTTTCTCTTCTTCTGGATCCGAGGAGCTGTCGGTTTACACTCGGCAAATTCGATCTTTGAGCTTTTCGTTTTTTTTTTTTAAATCTGCATGCGATTGTAAATCGTGGGTGGTTTTTAATTTTAATTCTCGCGGGATTAAAAATCCCGAGGATAATTTCTCGGCTCTCGGAAGCGATATTTTTATACAGGATGTAAAAAAAATCGCTCGAGCTTAAATGAAATTGATCAACGCTCGGAATCAATTATCTATATTTATATCGAATTCTGCGTTACGTGAAAAGCGCAAACGCGAATTCGTTCGATCGGATGAGCTTTTCGTGTTTACGAAACGGACAGGCATAAAATGCCGATTACCGAGCAGTGAGAAACTTTTTTTAATTGTCGCCCGTCTTCGTCTCCGTATCGTCTTTGAAGAAGGGAACGGAACGCCGCGATTTCTATGCGTTCGAGTGTGTCACAGGAGTTTATTGTTTCAACTCGTCCCGAGAAAACTTTGCGTGCAATCTGTTGTCAAAAAACCTGTATGAGTATCTGCAATACTAAAACGGGAACATTAAACGCAAGAATTCGAAACGGAATCTACAGCAAAAGCCTTCAGTTCTCTTAATTGTCGTTCTTAATAAAACCCTGCCGCTTTCTGAATCTTCGGCTGTTCGTTGAAGAAATGCATGCTCGAAAAGCTTACTAATCATTATTGATATTTCTTATATTCTTCACATTAAATTTGATTATTTATTATTTTAACAATAGATCTTTGCCGTATCTGAAATCGATTTTTCCTTCATAAGAAATTTTGCGAAGAGATATGTTATATCTTTTGTGATTTGCCATGTATTACTAAATATAAATAATTTTCTCTTAAATTTATTAATCAAATTAATTTTCATTTGTAATTTAATAATTTATATTCGTTAGAATATTTTTTTGTTAATATTACATATCGTGCATAATTATTAGCACGATATGTAATATTAATAATGTAATAGCAATGTAATAGCGATATGTAATAGCAATTTACAACAGTTGGAGCGTAATATGTCAATTTATTATGTAACAATAACATTACGACATTATATTTCAATAATTATAAATTCTGTATTACAATTCTATAAATAATTAATAGAATATATATCGTTATAACAATATATCGTTATTATAATATATCGTAATAACAAAGATGGTAATATTAAAATTGATTTTAACACTTGATTATAATTAATATACTAACGATATAATACCATGCATAAATATTTCTTCGCATTGTTTCATCTTGTTCGCGATAAATTGATTTTGAATCATGATTAATATTTAAACAATGTATCATGCATAAGTATTCCTTCGTGTGATTTTATCTTGCTCGTATTTCCCGCAGTAGTTCAAATCGGACGACGAGCCGGCGAGGCGAAGTCGTTTCTTGCGGTGATCGACAGATGTGAGGCGTGCTGCGTCTCGGGCAAAGGCCAGATACATCGACCGTCGATTTGCTTACGCACGCAACCTTGCGGACTCGCGTGCAGCCAGCGTGCTTCAGCGGGCAGCGGGATGTTCCAGCGATCCGTCACGCGCGATTATTACTCGTGGTGACGCGGTGTCGTCGGTCGTCGGTCGTCGGTGGCTTCGCTTCCCCTGGCAAACCCTGGCAGCAATTAGCATCCTCGCGGAGGTACCCACGCGAACTTTCGTCCCATCCCGTTAACAAGATACCGTAAAATATGCCGCCGCAAGCGAACGTGGTGCCGAAGCAGCCGAAGGAGAAGCTCGAGACACCGACGAGCGGGATTAACGCCGTTCTGTTGGGACCACCCGGTAGCGGCAAAGGCACTCAGGTATTTTGCGTCTAGAAAAAATTCGCGCCTCATATTATTTTTCAAGATGAAGAAGCTACTTGTCACTTTTTGATATGACAATGACTCTTGCACGTGGCCTGATGGATTGATTGTGCTGCTTGGTACCAATCTGCTCTCTATCGAGGATATTTATTTTATAACGATACATTTTTCTCGTCCATATTTGTATTGTAATTAGGTCTTCATAAAAACTTGGAGATATCTCCTTGAATATTTTTTAATTACAAATTGCTCTTTATGTTAATCAATCTTCAATTAAAATCAAAGACGTGTAGAAGATATCTCAAAGTCACGCTGAAACGTTTAATTACAATCTCAAGGATTAATTAAATTGAATGACGTTCCCCTTTTCCAGGCCCCGCTATTCAAAGACAGATACTGCGTATGTCATCTGTCCACGGGCGACATGCTGAGGGCCGAGGTCAGCTCTGGTTCTGCCCTCGGAGCTCGGATTAAGAAGGTAATGGACGAGGGCAAATTGGTCAGCGACGACTTGGTGGTTAGCATGATCGAGACCAATCTGGAGAAACCCGAGTGCAAGCGTGGCTTCTTGCTGGATGGCTTTCCGAGGAGCGTGCCTCAAGCGGAGAAGGTAAGCCAGAAAAAGTATACTCTGGACTGCGTTCAGAAATTCAATCTGGGTAACTCTAAGCTATAGTTTACATTACATAGACTATGGCCGGTATTCATAATCAATTCTTATATTTAAGACTGTCTTAAGTACAATCTTAAGATGTTATTAACCAATCTGACAGAGCCGTATTAGCATCTTAAGATATTACTTAAGATGGTCTTGAAATAAGATCTGATTATGGCCGGTATTCATAGTCGGTTCTTATATTTAAAACCATCTTAAGTACAATTTTAAGATGTCATTAACCAATCACAGAGCCGTATTAGTATCTTAAGATATTACTTAAGACGGTCTTGAAATAAGATCTGATTATGAATACCGGCCTATGGCATTAGAGTTACCTAGGTATGCCTAGGCACAATTCCTGAACGCACGCCTACAGAAGAAACCAAATCACTGCCTCTGACCTATCTCTTTTTGCACAGCTCGATGAAATGCTCAACAAGAGGAAAACAAAGCTTGACGCCGTGATTGAGTTTGGTATCGAGGACAAGTTACTGATCAGAAGAATCACGGGTAGGCTGATACATCCAGCTAGTGGTAGATCGTACCACGAGGAGTTTGCTCCTCCCAAAGTTCCCATGAAGGACGACGTAAGTGATAAGAAGCCTTAATAAAAAAAAATGATGAACCTTCTATATCATAATTTGGAAAAGTATTTTTTTTTACTCAATACAAATCGATGCGTTTGCAAAACGCTAATGAAAGATAAAGGTTTAGCGACATGCTGACCCTCATGATTTTGATAATATATCTCTACCGGAGATAACGCATAACAGCACGTGTTTTTTAATGACGAATACATATGATATAAGACATAATGGTTGCATAAATGAACAAATTATGGAGTTGAATTAAAGTCCAGGACGTTGAAACATAAAATCTTTATCTTGACAGATCACCGGGGAACCTTTGATCAAGAGATCTGACGACAATGAGGAAGCTTTGAAAAAGCGATTAAACACATATCACACGCAAACCGCGCCTCTCGTCGACTACTACGCTCTACAAGGGATCCATTACTACATTAATGCAGCTCAGTCCGCTGAAAAAGTCTTTAAGGATATCGATCAGGTCTTCCTGAAAACTTCCACCACGAAGAAGGGCTTCTTTAGCAGATTTTTCTAGAACACACTGCCAATAGAAGTACTTTCCAAAATGTTCTTTTTTTTTTAATTTTATTCTTTAATTCCACCTGAAAGAAACAGAGATAATTGTGAACATGTTGAAATAGCGTTTCAGTTATCTAACGCTTGTCTAATAAGAGTAATTCGCGTCTCGATATTAATCCTAGTAACATTTTAGTAACACGTCACGTTTACAAGGATCACCGTAAAGGATACGTCTCGTGACAATACGTAAAACGAAGATATGTAGCAGTATTTTATAGACACCATATTCTAGAGAGGTATAAGGTGCTACAATCGTGGATCAAATGCACACGATTTATCGAAGCTAAGAATGTAAAATAATATGCCTATCACATTAGCTTAGTAAAGAGACCGACATTTGTATATAGTCGTTAAAGAGTATTCCGATCCGTTGTTACCATATACATATATTGTGTGCGTGATATTGTCTGCTTTATAACTTTATTAAAGTTTATATTGAGACAGACTTTTATATATTACGACGTATTTTTGTTTTCTTTTACCGCGAGAGTTTATCTGATTAAAGATTGAAGTATGCGAAACAACGGCGAGGAAACGAGCACGGCGACCACGCTATCTACAAATGCGCACATTTTTTTTTAGTTCTCGATATTTTATTTGATTATTTTTAGCGTTAAACGCGATCGACCTATCTTGATTTTTTTTATCTTGGAAGATTTTGAAGATCGAGTGGCAAAATTTTCAAAATGTTGATATCTTTTTGCTCATACAATCGAACGAAAGAACGAATCATAATCATCTCAAAATAGATAAAAAATTTTGAGTTAATTATAATTCTTGGATTGATAATAATAATAACGTCTAACTGCCACGATTAATAGATAAACGTGGGATTTGTGTATGCGGACCTACGATTGCATTGCGCCTCTTCGACGTGTTAGGAGAAACAGTATCAAAAACGTGCAAGAGTAACTCTATGGATACGCGGAAGAACATTTGCGAAGTCACTCCTCGAAAACACGATTTTACGAGAGTACGGACAAAGCGCAGCGCAAATTAGAGACCTATTTTACATAGAAAAAGAAAGCAGATAGATATATTTTTTCTGGTACACTATAGGCATCCTATGTATGTATATAAAACTAAAAATTCCAATATTTTCCGAGAAAGAGAGAGACAAATGTAAATCTGTAGAAGAATAAATCACACGTGAAGTTCTTCATGTTATCTCAAAATGATATTGACAATAATTTTAATTGTACGTGTAATATCTTATCGCAGATAAGAAAGCAAATATTCTTAAACAATATATTTCTCAGGTTTAATTTTAGTTGAAATTACTATGACTAAATTTAAATTTTTTTCTGACGGATTAGGGAAAATATAGTATAATTCTTTTAATCAATAGATTTTATATAATTATGTATACATATACCTATATATTAATATATAAAAAAATATATATATAAATGATATATTACTATATTTAATGGCAATTTAATTAGCGATTAATGGCAATGCAACAGAATTGTTTAAAGTAAAATTTCTAATTGTATAATTTATTCTCTGTAATTTAATCTTTTTTTTTCATACATTGTAAAAATCGAAGGATTCATAATTTCTATCATATTCTAATAATTTCTATTCACGTCAACAAACTAGTAAATAAATCTTGATGACTGCCGATTAAATTAATTAAAATGTAGTTTGAATCATCCTCGAGGTGAATTTTCTAATTCGATTGGCCGTTCGGATCGTCACGCTAGTAGAAACTGGCGAAACCACTTTTCGACGTCGGTCGCGCATCTAGGCTCGTTTCATGCTCCGTGAAAGCGAGACGTTTCGTCCGTCCGTCCGTCATGGCGGAGAATGTTTTCGTTCCGTGATACGCCGACTCGTGATCGCATCGGCTCATCGATTCGACCGGTCGCCGACACGACGAGGACGACGAAGACGAAGACGACGACGTTGACGTTGACGTTGGTTCACGCTCGACCCGGTGGAACTCCAGCGATCATCCCACGATCATGGACACGCGCGGCATCGAGGTCACGAATCAGCTTCGGGTGAGTTTTTCTCGGAATGTCCAGGTGACGGTGCGACATTCGTCCGATCGTCCGGCTGCACGAGGACCCGGACGTGACGTTTGATATCCAACACATCCCGATTATCATATAATCGTCCGGTTCCTTCGGTAAGACGCGGGACGCACGCTGGAGCCGTTTCTTGAAAATTCGGGCGCACCCCAGCTTCGAGTTTACTCTTTTATTTACTCAGCGTTGATCTCTGTTTCTCTGTTCACGCAGAAGTCTAAATATTGGAAGCTATACTTTTGTCTTCTTTCTGGAAAATGATAGAAGACTGTCCTTGAGAAGCGATTGTATAGTTACGTACTTCTTAACAATAAGAAAGATATACTTGACGAATGGTATTATTCAGATTGAATCGCAAAGTGTACAAAAACTCAAACCTCGTAAGCCAATCGCAATATTTAATTTTCTTGCGAGGAATGTTTTCAGAGAAACAGATTGGACGCTGTTCAAGGGGCTTACCGAGGTGTCTAGAATTGTTTCCTGTGAGGCAACCTCAAATCAGTGGCTTATGAATTGATTCGGAATGATAAACAAGTTAAAAGAGGCCGTTGGAATGCATAAACGTCAGAGATAGTGTTAGCGTATTTAGCAATGTTAATTAGAATTTGCAAAACATTATGGAAAATGTCACTGCACTTGGGAATATTCAAGTCATGCATTAAATGAGTGAGGAAGTGTTAAAAAAAAGCAATTCAAACATTTAGTATAATTTATGTAATAAATTGTTTTTTACGAGGTCTGATTTTTGCTATTTTTATTTAACTGCGAATACGTTCTACAGTTTTTCCCTAAATAAATTTTGCCGCCTGATTTCTTTCAGAGCGCCATCCGCGCCAAGCTTATGGAATTGGGGGTTCGTTACGACGAGGAGCTACCCGATTACATACTGGTAATGGTGGTGAACAAGAAATCCCGTCAACAAATGCACGACGACCTAAATCTGTTCCTGGAGGACTGCACGACCGTGTTCGTCGACTGGCTGCACGATCAGGTGCTGAAGAAATTGCAGAAAGTCACCGTGGCCAAGAAGAAATCGTCCCGCGAGTTCGTGCCTACTGTGGTGGTGAAACAGGAGGAGGAGAGAAAGAAGAAGAAGATAATCGCGACCTCCTTCCTGGAGGACCAGGCGGCGGAGCAGTCCACCACGGCCGTCGACAAGTTCGCGGACAAAAGTGCGAAGAGCGAGAAGCAGCAGTTGCCGGCGCAGAAGCAACAGACTTCGATCAAATCTTCTGCGCCTAATCAAAACCCTGATGAACGAAGTCACAGCAGGAGCGCGGAGAGAAACGTCAAGGGGGTGCAGAGCAAAAGTAAAACGGACGAAGCATCGTCGACGCACAGCGGTGGATCTTATCAGGATTCCGCCTCCTCGAGGAGGTCGCAGCAGAGTTCCGGACGCGACGAGACCGCGAAGGATGTCGCCGCGCCGGAAAATCCCGCTGCGAAGACCACGGACACGCATCGCGATCCGAAAGCGAGCGAGGCGCCGGATAAGAGTCTGAAGAGATCGCTGGAGCCGTCGGGTAATCGTCACGACAGCGCGGAGAAACGGAGCAACGAGGCGAAGCGGCCGAAGCCGTCCGAGGAGGAGAAGGAAGACGATGCTTCGTCGTCCTCCCCGGACACGGCCACGAGGCGGCTCAAGTCTTGCGTGAACAAACCGAGGATCACGTCGGTCGTGTCGGTAAAGACCCGGCTCGGCATAAACTCGCCGCGAAAGAAGTTCGAGAACTACCGGGAGAAGGAGGGCAACGGCCGCTACCGCCCGTCGGAGAAGCGGTTCGAGAAGTCGCATCGGTACGACAACGGACGCGGCGGCGGCGGCGGGAAGGGCAGGAACTTTGAGCCGGACGATCGGAGCTTCAGGCGGAGTCGCGACGGCGACTCGTCGTCGCGGCATCACGAGGCCGCGAGCAGAGTCAACGACGTGAGGAGCCGAATAGAGAGCAGCAAGAACGAGAGACTGCACAGAAACGCGGAGTCGAGAGAGCGGATCCCGAATTCGGGCTCCAAAACGGACGTGTCTGCGAAAAAGTCCGCGTGCACTATCAAGGATCGTCTGGGCACCGTGAGTGCCAACAGTAAAGCCCAAAGACAGTCCGGCAAGTCGCAGGAGGCGTCAGATTATAGGAATAACCCGAAGAGCTTCGAGCAAGCGGGAAACAACAATAAGAACATCAAAGACAGACTCGGCCCGTTGAAAAATAATTTCAGGCCGGTGCACAAGCAGAGGCAGCTGAGGACGGCAACGGAGGACGACGAGTCTTTAGCTTCCCTGAATCCCGGCGCCGAGGGAAACGAGGAAAGGGTGGAGAAAGAGGAGGAGGACGAAGCAGACAACGACGAGCAGTCGCTGACCGGACCCGTTAAGTCGCACATAGTTGCCGTGAACAGATCCGCGGCCTTCGCCGGCGCGAGGACCGAGAGGAAACGTACGAAGGCTTCGAACGAAGTGCCGTTCAGCGCGACTCAGAGTACCGGTTATCCGGGGGGACACGGGGGCACAAAATCGCAACTGGACAAGATGAACAAAGGAACGTCCAGCGACGTGGATGAGGATACCGTGGATGACACGAGGTTACCGAGTAAAGTGATTGTCACACCGAGACCTTTGAAGCCGCTGCAACCGACGCAGAAGCGCGCCACGCAGTCGCTCTTGCTGCGAGCGGTCGCGGAGGCGAATCAGTCGGTCGTCAAGCAGAAGAACCCGGAACCGTCTCTATTCGTAAGTTTCGCTAACACATTGTAAATAATCCTGTAAATCCAAGCAACGACTCTCTGTAACATTGTAATACCGAGATTGTCGATAAAATGTCTGCGATATGTTTCTGGAAAAAAAAAAATATTACACGTCGGAGAGGGAAGAATGAATTTTTTTCATCGAAGGCTCAATTTTGTTAGGACAAGAAGCCGGTCTTAAAGCGTCTTAAGCCTGCCCCGGCTCGTGATGTAAGTCAAAACTTGTCGGTACATTTTAATTCTAGTAAGAGACTGGTCATGGAAAAGATTCAAGTCGAATTAAATACGATAGATCATCTGGATGTGGAAGACGTCGAGCACGAACCGTGTAAGTCCCATCTCCGCGGAGACGCGTTTTTCGCGTTCAGAGTTTGAAAGAGTTACAGGATCTTATTTCGTATCCTACTTTTACCCTTTCGTCGGAATCTTTATTTATCGATTTTCCTATTATTATTATTTTAAGACCTGGGTATCATTAATCTCATATATCCTTCATTAGACAGAGACCAACTATCATCCCATCAATCTTCCACTAATAACACCTATACTAACAGCTTCCAAATATTCACAAACTGTAAGAAGTACAGTAAATGACTTTGGCCTAAAATAATAAATATTTCAGAGAAACGATGATGATATGTTTAAGATAAATAAAGATTCCAATACGAATCCCTTTTGCGATACAAAGACTAACTCTTTCATCCCTCCACCCTGGATTTTAATTTCTCGCTTATTATCGCCTAATCCGTAGATGTACCTCAACCGGTAACGGACGAGCATATGGGAGTGGTCATGTCGTTGTTCCAAAGGAGCGACGACAATCAGAAATTCTTAGTCACTCTGAACGGTTACAACAACAATCTCATGAAAGAGAAAATCAGCTCCGAGGATGACGAGGAGCGGCTGGAGATGGAGGTAATTTCTTCTTCCGCCACCTGTAAAGCATTCCCTCCTTCCCTTCCCCCCTCTGAATTTTAATTCCTCGCGCGCATTCTAGACGCACGATGTTCCTCCTCATGCTCGCAGGTGAACGAGGACGACGAGCTTGCACTATTGACGACGCACAGTGAGGCAACGACGGCGACGACGGCAACGTCGGCGATAGCGCAGAACGACTTGGAGATAAGTACATTTAGAATAACGGAAGATAACGAAGCGGAAGATAACGCGGATGCCAGTCCGAAGGAGGCGAGCGGAGAGGAGAACAACGAGAACTGCAACACAGAGAACGTGGATAAGATTGACGAGATGCCGCGTAAACGGAGAAAATTGAGTCCTATCGTGTACAACAGATCTCACTCTCCGAGTCCCGCACGACTAAAATCTAACGCGTCGCTACCGCCGACGTTGGCCGCCAAACGTATGCATCAAAATTTCTTTCACGTTTGTTCACGACGACATATAGCGATATAAAGTGTATCGCTATAACGTGTTGCCTCCTTTCAGCTCCGGATAAAAAACCATTGGTGGAGAACACGGTCCCGACCGTTTTAGACAAATCCAGGGAGAAGTGTAGATATTGGCCAAATTGTACGTTAGGGAACAAATGCGCGTACCTTCACCCACCTGTTATGTGCAGGTAGTGTATCTTTCGAGAGACTTATTGCATCAGAATATATAAACGATACTTTTCTCTTTATAAATACATGCCAGAAAGCATTCAACTTTTTTTTAAATTTTATTATTTTACCTAATATTTATTGATTTTTGTAAATTTTCATTATTTTTCGCAGTGCTTTCCCGGCATGTAAGTTCGGTGACAAGTGCGCCTACAAGCATCCCAAGTGCAAGTTCGGTTTGTCCTGCACGAAGCTGGGCTGCGTGTTCTCGCATCCGGCCCAGCAGTGTAAGTATCATCCGTTCTGCACGAAACCAGCGTGCCCGTATTCTCACCCGGCCAGTACCGCTCCGGCGGCGGAAACGACGAGCCAGCGGGCGAAATTCACTTGGCGGCGACGAGACTGAACGTATGTACCGCGGATGTACAAACCTGGATATGTTCTGATCGGATCGAGGTTCTGATCCACGTAAAATTACCTTGTACACGTCAACGATAAGACTGTACAAGCTTAAAGTAGCGTAAGTTGACACAAAGTTACCGCAGCGGAGTTAACTTCGCGATTGAAGAATGCGTCTAAGAAGGAAAAAGAACAGAAGCTTCGTCAGTAGAATCGTGATTTTACTACATCAGATAGTAATTTTATTTTCTCTTAAATCGAGAATCCCAGCAAGATGTAAAGGAACTTTTGCAGAACTTTAAACAGTGAAAATTAATCGTTTAATCTCAATTAAGCCAGATTTAAAGTAATCGTTAAAGCTTTAATTTAATTTAGGATGTGTGTTAGATCGCAGATTTATATATATTTCCCCGTTGATTGTCTATCGCCTTAGATTCTAAGACCGCGTGCACCGTCAGTCCGAACTGATCAATATTTGCTGCCATTCTTAGATTATATAATCTACTTACAATATGAAAGGGAAGGATTTTAGTTTAGTAAACCAGGGCTAATGAACTTGGCCTTGGGGTGATCGTAAAACTCGTTCTCCTTTTTAGGATCGACCTCGCTGATGCAATCTTGTCTCAATTTATGTACATGAATATGTTCGAAAATATGTATTGCCAAACGTGCGATTCTACTATCGTTAGTATATACATATTACTGGTGTGTAATTAAGTCAGAAGAATGATAATTAGATCTGCTCTTTTTAGCCGCACTTTTTGTAAAATCTGCATTTTTATTTCTTAATCGTCTTTCCTTTCGCTTCCACTGAAGTCCGCCGAAGTGCGCGCTTCGTTTCATGCAAAAGGGTATAGTTAAGAGGAGCAGATCTCTATCGTACCGTTTCACGTCGAGAGCGATATAACGACCGTCTCAAACGAGAACGTTTGTGTTGGCGTTATAGATTAACTCAGTGCTCGTTTTAAGATTACCGGCGAGGTCTCTTCGCTGAGAGTATCTACTCGTATAAGCGCGAATTAAACATCCTCGTCCAGTGACTTATAATCCGGTTTCGAGTGGGGTAAACGCGGTTGTTATAATCGCGTGCCGTACACTCGGCGCCGCCTCCGCGGTCGAGGCAATCGTAAAAAGTCAGGTACTTCGTTGCTCGACCACCATTTATGTAATTTAACACGAATTGTATAGGATCTTAAGTATAGGAAAGATGGTTCCGCATTATTTTACCTAGTGCTAGTGAACGGTCGCGCATGAGATGTACAATATTATTGAGACTTGTCATTATCAGAAACAAATATACGATGATTTCTGTAAAACGCAGTTTCGTTCTCGAGATATTCTCTCGTCCCCACCCGTCTTCTTCTTCGATAAAGGGGCGCCGCGGGAACCTGTCTCTAAGAGAGAGGAATTAAAACGACGGGATAAGTGTGTAAACCAGCGGATCGCGATTATCGCGGAAAACAATCATGATAATTATTATAATTTAAATACACATATGTCGAACACACACATATCGTAGTCACGGTCGGAGGAAGGCAAGAATCGATCGAGACGTACTGCGGTACGCAAGCTTAGCTGCGTGATTTATTGCGTTTGTTTTTATTTATATTCGTTTAAAATTGATCTCCAAATGAAACTTTTACGTCGGCGTAATTAGCGTGTCAGCGTACTATAACATCACCCTCGTTTCGTTCGAGGGAATGAGACGCGTGTTTGGATTCTGTGAAACATTATCGCGATCGTATCCTAAGATCGACAGATCAACACGGTTTCTTTCATGCACACAATCGTATATACTCGCACACAACTCCGCGCTAATATATATATACGTATAAATCTATGTATATGCTCTCTATCATACTGTGGGGCACTTAGAAAACTCGTTAATTCGTTCTCCTTCTCATTCTCGCGTCGACTCTATCGACCGGAAATCCGGGCGGGCCACGGATGCGTTTGTGAGACATTTTAAAGTAGCATATATATTATATACATAATATATATAGATTTGTTTCTTTCTTTGTTATTCGAGGATTGCTTTGTCTCGAAGGGGAAAAATAAGAAAATAGTGCGCGCGCGAACGTATCTCTCACCCCCTTCTAACATTTTTAATCTACTTTCGACAAGCGGAGCTGGAATCCTCTTCAGCGAAAGAGAGTAAGCTCGGTAGATCTACTGTAGAGAGAGAAAATGAATTAAATCGTGATCGAAAGGGGATTCGCTTCTGCGAAACTGAAACGTTTCTTCCCTACTTTATGTAATCGCTGAGGTGTACATTTTGTAATCCTAAGCAAGATATTCTTCTCCTTCTAAATCTTCGAATACAGACAGGAACATTCGGATTTCTTCAGTCGCGACTCGAAGACCTCGCGAGAAGAGAAAGAGAAGTGCGAAACGCTCCGTGTCTCTTTCTTTATTTTTTTTTACAAATCCATCAACCGTTAATAAAGCTTTCGCGGATAACACCCTGTTTCCTGTTCCTCGATACCCTTGCATCGCCGTATACTGTACGACGCGCCGTCTTCTAAACTAAAAGAAAAGAAGGGGATGGGAATTAAAAAAAAAAAATGGGAGAAAAAAGAATAATATGTTATATGTATACGGTACGTACATACAATACATACATACATACATATACAATATATATATGTATAAAAAGTGTGCGCAACGTTTTTCGCGAGATAATTTGGCAAGGATTAAAAATATCATTAATTATGTCTGCATACAAATGCCTATGTATGTGTGCATACCGTGTATCTGTGGGTATGTGTGAGTGTGGCAAACATGCGTGTACAATGTACATATGTCTTCTTCATGTGTATATATCGCGGGGAACAACGAATTCACGACATCGCGAAATTCGCTTCTCGCACGTACGACTCTCAAAACACGCGCACGCACAAGACACTCGAACCGTGGAGCGCTACAATTTTTTTTTTATATTAATTTCATTTCATATATATATATAACATATAATAATAATAAAAATAATAATAATATTACAATAATATAATTACAAATAATTAGTTTTATCCGTGATATACTATTTTAATATTTCACTAGATTTTTTTTCTTAATGTCCCTCGCGGTCTCCTCGACGCACGGCGAGCCGCTAAAAGAAAGTGCGGATGTGCGGAGGGCGGTCGTCTAATGCTCGATCTATTTGATTTTATCACAGAAGTCCGCCTCTGACCGCCGTTCTCTCGCATCGCCTCGACACCATTGCCTCCGAATTAATAATTCCTACACGAACAACGATACGGCAAAGTGGCGGATAAGACGAGCCGTTGGGCACAATGGTATAAGCCATATTTTTGCAAAACAAAAGAGGCCCTCTATAAGACTACTTAAATAAAAAATATTAAATACATAAAATATACTTGCATTATTACGAAATCATTTTCTACATACGTAAAGAAACAAATTGCAAATTTTATATCTTTACATCAAATAAACAATAAACTGTTTAACCGAGCCTGATATATTTTTTTGCATTCTTTTGATTAGATTGTAAAATAATCTAAAGCGAAAAAGCCCGAAGTCTGATTAAGAAGAACAAGAAATAATGATTAATCCGTTATACTACTGACTTGTACCATTATTTCATTCGATGACTCATAACGCTCGACAAACGCGGAATTCACGTAATCGGAGAACCAAACTGATTCCGTTCCTGTTTTCGTAACTGTACTTTCTATAGTCTTTCCGTAGTTATTTTCTTTCTCTCGTCGTATAAAGTCTGACGCATACACATATACTTCATTTTAAACGCCGAAAGCGTAAGCGTCACGTCGCATTCTTATCACACTCCCTTATCCTTATCGCCCCTATCCTTATTTACACCTTACATCGCAACAAACGTTCCTTCGCATCTTCCACGCTATTAATTCTACTGCAGATTAATGTTACAATGCTCTACGGCTCGGTTTCGCGATAACGTAACACCCTCCGGTACCCGTTCAGGCCGTTATTATCCGTTAATTGCTATTTCCATTTGATTATATCGTGTTACACGTTGCACCAAAGGGATCGTATTCGCTGTCGGCGAAACCGAGCGACGGAAACACCGGTCTTCGTTAATATATCTCACACACAACGTGAGCCAAGTTGAATCCTTGCCTGATGGACTTACGGAATCGCCGCTGATCCCTTCGCGACTCTTCTGACGACTATCAAAAAATAATAATATAACATCAGTAAATGCCGTTCGACGCGCTAAACGCGCAGTCAATTACACGTTAAAATCTTCGATTTTAATTAAAGCCGTGGGCGTTACGTATGGGGCTGCGGCTTGTCTGCAAATCCATCCGCGACAGTGAAACGTCAACGGGGACAAGGATCCTGATTGTTCTCGTGCCTCCTGCCGCGCACTCAGGACTCGCGCATCCGAGATGCTCATCTCGAATACTCCCCGAGACGCTCATGATGAACACTTAATAAATACTCAGTCCTGCTCGTATACTCCGTTCGGTCCATCTTACGTATTTCGGGTGTATATAATTAACGTCTCTCTCTCTCTCTTTCTCTTCGCACGATCATTTAGGGTTTGCACGTAATCACCATGATGCACCAATGACGTACGATTACATTATGTTTCTCAATCACTCGCCGAGCGATTAATGGCACGCAATGCGGCAATCGCGCCTGATTGACGATCTCATCTTTGGCAGCTTATCAAAGGATGCGTGCCAAAAGAAAACGGACGAACTAGGATAACTTTGCGTATTGTATTAGATATTCGAATAGAAAGAACGAGAACATTTTTCAATACCCTCAGAGTTGGCAGTAGGATTCTTATAAGAGAGTGAGTTTAAAGTCCGGAAATGTTTGACCCGATTGGAACGAGCCATCTTTCTGTCGCGATAATGTGCCCATTTAAATTCATATTCAGTAGAATAAGCTCGCGTATCTAAAATTCGGAAAGACTCGGTTCAGACTGGAATAACCGCCGTTATCCTACCACCGGTGATAATCTACTTACGCAGAAACTCGAATCTCGACAATTGGCAGTAAGAGTCTGATATAACGTTAACGGTACATCTCTAAAATTCGGAAAGTCCGTAAAATGGCGCAGTGATCCGTAACAGCGTACTATACAACAGTATTACACTCGTAATATCTATCCAGCTCACGTAAAAATTCCTTCCCGAGACATCTCTCGAAAATCTCGAAAGCAATCTCGTGTTCGTATCTTTAAAAGAGTCCGTGGATGCGTTTATGTACTTCGAAAGAAAACCCCGCTGCGAGATGACCACGCACGTCACGAGCGGTGAAAGAATACACCTGCGTGATTCGTCTCGAGAGAGCGAGGTGGAAGAATGAAAGTGAAATCGCTCTCAGATGTTCATTGAAGTTTCAGCTCGGCGGTCTATCTTCTCGATGGAATTATTTTCTTAGTTCTAAATAACATTCGAAATGTCGAAGTTCCAAGCGCCGTTTCGGCCCATCTCTGACGAAAGCTAGTGTTGTAAGAGTTCAGTGAAATAGGTCTCGCCGAGTGCCTACAGTCTCTCATTCGAATAGCAGCGTAGATAACGAATCTCTCGCACGATTTCTCCCGCTCTTGCCCATTTGTGGCAGGAGCGAGTAGCTATGGCCACGAATATCCATGTACTCGCTAAGACGATCACCTAACGCGATTTCGGTACTCGCTAAATCGATTTCATGCACGCAGTCGATTTGAACCGGAGGGTCCGAGGAATTGGACCGGAGGACGTTCCGTTCGCGAAAACGTCCTCCTTAAACTTCTCGAAGCGTTTTTGCGGAAATCCGCGAGATTCGCGGGACGATCTGATGCGCGATTTACGCGATCTGAGAGTCCGTCGAGTGATCTCCTCCTTCCTTCATTCGTCGCCGTCGAGATCGCGGCTCGCAATCGGGCAATATTTACACAGCGCTATGCTTAGAGTCACAAGGTTCACACGATCACAGCAAGTCGTTGAAGCAACCGCCGAACCACATCACCACTATCGGCATCAGGTACGTCGTCAGCGCCCTAAACAGCGACATTTTCGGCCTGCTGTCTTCTCCGCTGTTCACGGAGATGGTCTGGTTGCTGCTGCTTGTACCCGTGTTGCTCGTACCCGTGCCTTTGTGCGGCTCGATGTCTACTCGCGGCGGTATCTCAACCTCGTGGACGACCGGGGGCGACGGCTGTTTCGGGGGTTCCGGCTCCAATTCCTCACGTGGTCCCTCGTAGCCGGAGCCCTCCTTAAAGCCGTCCTCGTCGTCGGTGAACGTACCGTCGCCCGAACCGCTCCCGGAACCGTACCACGTTTCGTCTGTGAAGTCATAAGGATAATTATTATCATATAGACAAAGAGAATTGTTATAGCATGCTATTAATAACCGTCAGATAATTACCAGTATCGATCCAGTCGACATCTTGCCCGTTGAATGCCAATTTCAACCTATTCGTGATGGTGGTCAGTGCGAAAACCTGATCCCTCACGATGGTCGGTCTTGGTCCCGTACTGCGTACTTCCGGGTTCATCATCTGAGACTCGCCATCGGACGACACCGGATATAAGTACCTGAAAGAATAACAAGCGAATATTGTCGCGTACAGACTTGTTATGATACAAAGGCAACGTTATTATGCATTTAAAACATGTAGATAACTGAATTGTTAATTTATCTACAATGAAATTTCTTATAGCTGAGTGCCAACAAGTGAAACTGATTACAAATGGAATTTTAATTGTTCTCACTTGTCTACGTGCGTGCCGTTCCAACATTCTTTCGTATTGCTGGGTGGCGCAACCAGACCCTCGTTGCACATCCGGTAAGGCAAGTAGACCCAGAATTGTCGGAGATCGCGCACCCGCTGGCGTATTTCCTTCACGAGCTTGTCCAGAATCGCGGCAGTCGAGGCGCGATCCTCCGTTAACGTTTCCTGATCGAAATTCAGGGACTCCTCTAGTTCCAGTTCGCGATTGTCCCTGCGTCTACGTCTACCCAGCATCGGCCGGCCGCAACCGGTAAACACGCGTTGCGACACGTCAGAACTGCTCTCCTGGAAGTTCATGATCGCTTCGGAAATCTTCAGATTGATTGGACGCACTAGCACCTCGATGTTAAACGGTCCAAGCAGCCGATCGGCGATCTTGTCCACAGCCTCTGTGTTTGGAAATCAAAAAGCGGATCAAGCCCGAGATCGTTCCTAGCGAAACGAAAGAAAGAAGAAATTTCGCGCGGAATGTCTCGTGAGAAATATTTCTTCTATTTCTTCAACTTCTATGAAAAAGTTTAAATTAGGAAAATATAATATCGATATTATTATTGTCTCGGTTTTCGAAATATTTTCTTTTCAATCAAAGATTCGTTATTCGTATCTATAATGCGAGCGAAGAGCGATCATTTCCACACAAAAATCCTATGTAGCTTCTGAGAAAGAAGACTTTCGACGCGTATATACAACAGATAACAGATTGTGCGCGTCGATGATCCATGTTCTCTCGAGATATAATAACCGATATACTCGGGCGAGAAGGAAAGAGAGCGAGAGAGAAAGAGAGCGAGGAGAAATTGCTTACCGACGAACTGATTCCAGTCGGTGTCGAGTGCCGCGTGTTGCGCTAAGCAACCCTTCATCGTGTTGGTACACATATAGCTGCACGCCAGCACGTTGTCCGATATACCGCTGCAAGCCGGACAGGCTGTCATCCTGGTCAAGGCAGCTGCGCAATCCGCCGATGGCTTCAGCTACGGCCAACAAAGAGTTTGTTTTAGAATCTATGCGCGGTTGCGGTTGCGAAATAATGGCGTAAGATCCATAAACATACAAAGAAATTTAAAGAAGAACAGAAGTAGAATAGAACAAAGTGAGAAAGAATCGGAATAAAGAAGCAGAATAAAAACCAAGGTAAACATAAAATAGACATATATTCTATAAATTGTTGTCATTATGTCATAAATATTTTATAAATTACAATTTAATAATTTTAATTACTTCAAGCGAGTGTAAAATAAACAAAGAAATATCATCGAATCGATTTGCATCAATTTTCTTCGTTCAAAGTTTCTTTAAAAATTTGGAAGACCCAGTTTTTCTTAGATTTAAGCCTGAATTTCAATTTTTAGCATACAAAATTCAATATACAAATATTTGCTTGAAGAGTGATTGGATATCGCGTGGTTTGAATCGCGTAAAATCGAGCTACATTGATTTGGACTGTCTCGATGTTGTCACAGTGTATTCTCTTACCGATTGCATATTTTTCAGCACGTTCGCGGCGACGGTTAAGGCCTGGCTGAATGCTCTCGTGGCCACGAACGAACGTTTAATCTGCACGCCCAATTTCTGTGGCACGTCCCCGAACGGTCGCATCTCCTTCATGTGTTCGCCCACGCACTCCAAATATTTATTGTCAAAGTTGTACTGACTGTTGAGCACGGTGAACATCTTCTGATAGAGGGTGTTGAAGAAATTGTCCATGGCATCGTTGAGATCCACCTAAAACAAATAATAGAATTTTAAATTATATAATAAGTTCTTCATTATAAGGATGAATTTGGAATCCATAGAAGAAATACGTATGTACGTTATATAAATATACGCATATATTACAATAACATATATCCATATATTTGAATTATCTGCATCATATAAACATCAATCTTCTTCCCAAAAATTAATTTTAGTAAGAAACTCGAAACAAAATTATAAGTCTTCTACAGAAAACACAATTTTAATGTATTGAGAAAAATATTACAAATAAAATTATAAATTACACTTTTACATTATACATTTAATTCTGATACATGCGTATATAATCATATCGTGTTAATTCGATTTATTTGATCAACGATTATTCGGAGGACAGCACGCGCTTTTTCGATTTACCACGGCAATCAGCCGTCGCAGCCTCAGACAAATTGCGCTGGATCCGATCATAATTCGGATTAATCGAAAGCCGACAACCGAGACACCGAGCCCGCCGGCTCAATGGAATATTAATGACTCCCAGCGATTATTCGCGCAATTAGAATACAAGAGCGCCCGCTAAGAACTCTGTTTCGATCTTGTATACTGCGAGGGAACGAATGAAAGGAAGAGGAAAGTGACTTGAAGGACAAGTCGCGAAATACGCCTTTAACGTCACCATGGCAGTTAATCTAATTACACACTCATTCCTTGAATCTTGGAACTAAATATGAATCATGCTCATTTGGAGCATTTAGTGGATGTTCTCTTGCGCTTTTAAATATCAACAGTCTGAGAACTTTCTTCGTGATTTTAAACTGTCGTTGTACAGAGATGTACAAGATGTTTCACAAAATTCTAGAGTTTCAGAGACACGATAAACACAATAATGTTGCACGATATAATAGCAACATAAAATATTTTCAATATACAATATATATTATATTTTATTTACTGAAAAAAAGCTGTTAACTCGACTAAATATTTTCAATTAATTATTAGTTTTTTAATTGAAATATTTATGTGTTTAAATTAAATACGATATATTAAATCTAACATGACGTAATTTGACTCAAATACAGATATATTATTATGTATGAAATATATATATAATAAATTAGAAAAGCCGAAACGCCGTTTTTCTTTCGGAGCTTCCCGGGAGCGTTGAAAATGGCGCGATTCGCGGCAGATTAATATTCGCGATAAATTTATCAGTGACAGGAGCGTTGCAACGATAATGCATTCACGCGATCGGGCCCTTCGCCTTCCGTCGTGTGCATGCGGAACAGGTTCCGAGCGGCGCCGGTGAATAATTCGAGGGACGATTTGAATGACAATCGACAAAGCGTCTCGTCTCGATCGACGTCTTCCCTCCTCCGTATCCTCCTCCTCCTCCTTTTGACACCGCGTGACGAATTGTACAACCGTGTACCTGTCACTTACGTCCCTTCCAGCCAGAAGCCATTCTCAGCCCTGCAGCGCAAGTGTTGGATGTGTGAAACTCTGAAGAGTCCACTTCGCTTCTTTTATCTCGCGCACGGAATTGTAATCCGATAGTCCGATAGTTTGCATTCTTAAACATCCTTTCCGTTCGCGACGGTCTCTTCGACGGTCATTCGGAGTTTCGAAGAAAAAAAATCGCCTGAAAAGAAAAGCAACGCGACGCGACATTCATTCTTAAACCCGTTGCTTTTTTCAGGCGATTTTTTTCCCTCCTGTCCGGTAGGTACTGCATCACGGTGGGTACTAATCCCCACAGTTGCTTCGCATTTCCGCGCCTTATTTTCATCAGTTACCTCGCTGCAACTGGTGCCCGGTGTTGCGTTCCATCCCCGTGGGGGATGGATCGCGCTCTCCTCGTCGATCGTGACTTTATTACATCTCGCGCTCGCTTCGGAGTCTTCTCTCGTTCGTCCGCTTAATAACGCGCTTCCTGACGCGAAACAACACAACCCAGGGCGATCGTGTTTCCAAGTAAAATTAAATTCCATCCCGGAGCACAGTCCGAAAGCGGCTCCGCGCGCGCGAAAGGGAAGGAGGAGGGGGCGGTGGCGAGCTCGAGTAAATTCAATAGATCGCGGTGTAATTGCGGAAGCCCTTCGATAGGTATAGGTAGGGACAGGTACACGGGGCGAACGCGTATACGGGACCCTTCCGGCGACGGGATATTTTCGCTTTGGCGGCGGCGGGTCCCTTTAGCGGGACAACGCCGGGGCGATGTCAAAAGCACATTGATTAAATCCGCCTTCGCACGTGATTCCACCCTCCACCCCGACTTTCGAGCTTCGGCGGCGCGAACCGGACATCGTGGACAAGGGGTTGTTCCTGCTGCAGACCCCAATAGAAGTTTAAAAGCGTTAAAGGGCGGAGCTGAAAGTCGACTCACGTCGCGCGATTATCCTTCGATCGCACCTCGAGGAATTCAAGGACTCGATACAAAAACGAATTAACTTTGTTGGGCCTACTAAAAAAAATAAATTCATAAAAAAGCTTAACTCTTTTCTTAAAAAAATGTTCTTTTCTCGAAATTTTCAATTCTTTTTTTCGTAAAATTAATGTCGAGCGAATAATTCCGAACTCCTAAGACTCTCGGATTAAGAAATGATAATTAAACGATGTCGAGCACGTTTAGATTTTCCTATAAAAAAGATTTCTTTCTTTTTAAATGGTCTTGATACGATTTTGCGATACCTTTGTCGCGACGCTGACGCTAAGAAAAATTGAATGGAACGTGACGCGTTGCGTCACGTCACGTCGTTGTGTCCCGTACGAATCGATCAGAGGGATATTCGAGTGAGCCGAACGTGTGTGGAAAGGGATATAAATTTTTTCCTTTGAAGATATACGGATACCGTGACATCTGTCGAATTACAGGAAGTTCCGATAGCGGCACCGCCTTTTACGTCGCTCCGTTTCAATCGGCAAGATACAGAGAGAAAGAGATTACCGTTGCCCTTCACGTAACCCACGTACATACCGCTCGCGATACTGTCTCGAAGGATATATCGCGCACTTGTATCTCTTACTTCGCCTCGTACTCCCTTACATTTCTCGCTCGCTGATATTCCGAGAGAGGAAGGTGTCGTCGAGCGTAATTGCGCGGAAAACGGCTTGTAATAAACTTTAGATCCCGAGACACGGCCCGGCAGCTCCAGAAATTTTCCTCACGGCTCGTCGTCTTATTTATTCGCGCTTAATACACCAGGGCGAAGGGTGTCTGCTGGGGGAGCGAAGGGGGGCCGAGAGAGAAGACGGGGAAATTAAGGCGCGATTGCAATTTTCACCGGGGGGCATCACCCCGCGCGACATCAAACGAGAGGTAAATGAATGGCTCAACGTTACAGGTACCATAATTCCAAATTTGCCGGTAATATGGGAAGGACTGTTCTCTGTTCGGAAGTGCTCCAAAGAGAGACCGAACAACGCAGACGCTGTTCTAACATAAATTGATCGGGATCCGGCCTTATATAGACGGAATTCTCGGCAAAGAGTGAAATAAATCGTAGCCGCGCCATTTTAACGTCGAGATAATCAAATTCCAAGGGGAGGAAAGCGAGGGAGAGGGAAAGGTACTCACCGTTCCTTTCGCGTAATAATTCTCCAGCTCGTTGAAAAAGTCCGTGAAGACGTACGCGTTCTGCTCGTAAAGGATACCGTAGGTCTTCTTGAACATCTCGTGAAAACCTCGTTTGCTGCCCGCCAAAAGGTCCTTGAAAAAACCTGCAAACAACAAGAAACATGAGTCCACGTAATTCTGCTTAATTCTGTGAATCGCAGCTTGTAAATAATTTTATAAAGTAACACTTTAAAAATGCCATTAATCGCCGTTCTATACAGCTTCCGCTCGTACAGCTCGGTCATTTAATTAAATTGTCAATTTTTATTATTCATTATATATAGTTTTGTGATAATTAATATTATTATATATTAAATGATATGACGTAAAGAAGGAAGATCCGCGAAAGAAATCCCGAGATAACTTATCGCGACGAGTTTCTCGGCGCTTTGACGCCTCTCCCGGCGGAAAATCGCGGTCGAGCGCAAAACGGGAAATTAGTCGAGATTTCAGGGTGCGAGTCGTCGTCGTCGTCGTGAGACGAGAGGGTGGTTCGTATTGCGAATTAAAAGCCCAACGAAGTTGCGGCAACTACCCAACAGTTCTCGCTGCCTCTTCGTTCCTCTCGTTCCTCAACGTGGATCGACGTCTGTGCTTTTTACACCTCTGGTAAACTTGCGACAGAAAAGGGAGCCGGATTCGTCGCTAAAAGGAATTTTAATCACATTCCCCCCCCCTCCCCCGGGCGGAAGTGACGATAAGGAGGTTGTTCGTCGGTGAGCGAGGACGAGGAACGGGGGTGGCGGCGGATCGAGGTCGGAAAAACGCTGCTTCTCTCGTTGCATTGCAAGCGCACCGCGCCGCGCCGCGCTGCGCTTTGTTCATCGGGGGCTGCGGCCCCGTTTCAGCCGCGAGATTGAGTCAACGGTAGTTTATTTATTGACCTGACATTTCAATATCAGTACGCCAACGTGACATTTTATACAGTGCCAGCGGAATTTTATTATTAAATTATTTAAGTCTTTTGTATAGTCCGTTAGGAGAGCAAATTTTCCGATTGACAGGCCACTCGATCGCTGACAGATGCAGATAAATGCAGTTAAGTCGGACGTTAAATGTTACATTATATACCTTTTAGCGTACGAGTTAAAATGTAACGACATAACAGTTTTACAATTAGCATCGAATATAATTAAATCCCGTTGAATTTAAGATTGAAGCGTTATCGACATGATTCGTAAATGAGAATGCAACATTAAATTAGGAATCGTTTAACATTTCCTTAAATATTGGTGTTATTTAATTAGGGAGAAATAAATTTTGTACTCAACGAAATTGAGTGAGCATAAAAAAATTAATATTACAAGCTGTTTTTTTTTCTGTAGCAAAGAATTCCAATTGGAATTCCGTTTGATTTTAAAATCATCATAATTTCTGAGAGCCTTTCTAAATCAATGTCCGTCACGCGGGAACGATATCCTTGATCGATATCTTTGATCTTACTCGCGAGACCGGAGTGTCAGCAATTAGCGCGGAAATTGGAACACGTTCCAGCTCGGGAAGCATATCCACGGGTGTCTAACGGTCTCCCCCGTTGACGAAATTATTCGAAGGCCGCACCTTCTCGTCGGTCTTTCATCTTTTCCGCTGCACGTCGGCTTTTACAACCGAAGCCTCTTTGAGGTGCCACCGTCCAACTTTAGCACCTGGTACCCACTTTAGTCGGCACTCCGCTAGATAGAAGTTCGTAAGGCCTTTACGAGAAGCACGAGTCCTTCATCGTTTATACAGAATGTACGTCCGCGACAGGATATATGTATCTTATATGTTCTTGAAATATTTTTAACACTTTTATTCTTAAATTTTAAAAAGAAAACACAGAAGAGATATATTTAACAATAAATAATTTTATATTAATATGCATTTTTCGACATTGTATATGAACATAAAATTGTTTAAAAATGTTCCCTTTTTATTAATTTTATTAATGTAAAACTCTTTTTCTCTCTGTTTCACTTATTTCTTGCTTCCATTTTTCCAACGTCAATTTTTCATTTCATAAATTATCTCGTCACACAAATAATATTTCTTTTACGAGTTAGAAGATTTATAAATATTCTGAGGATACTCTGAGTGCCATTCAATTTTCCCTGATTTTCACCGATGTTCTACAAATATAACGAGGACAATCTCACGAAAGTCAACAGTGTAACTTGTGCATTTATAGGTTTTTTACGACGCGATGACACGGTTTTTCGCGATCAAAGCTAAACCTGCCGATTAAATCCCTCGATTTTTATCGACCAAATGAGATAACGTAGTCAAGTTCGGATATTTTACAGCGATCTCATTTTTAATTTCGTCCGAAGATATCTTGGTTCCCAGCTTCCTTAATAGAATAAAGGTATAATTTAATGCTCGCTTCGATGAAAATTGCTTTGTCAAATAAAGCTGAGAAATAGCAAAGGGCATTTTGTGTAAAATCATTTAAATGCATAAAAGACCGCGCGTTCTATTATATACGCGATAATATCCCCGAAGAAGTTCTCTCTCGGAGTGGTTGCTCTTCGAGACACGCAGCTGGCGTTCAGGGTAACGGATAGTGTTCGAAACGGCTTCAAGAGAGCCCGAATAATTATCGTTCTCGACACAGGCATTCCGAGGGTATTCGGGTATTGTGCGAATTGTTAACGCTACCTACCTACGCTAATTACGATGGCGCGCTCGTGTTCAACATTCAACTATTAATTGCAGCGGTGCAGACGGCGTTCTAAATGCAATCGCATCTGTTTGCAGCGCACAAAGATATATAGACGTCCCCGATGTTGCTTTTATCGTTATCGAGACTTACAAACGTTTGATGGATATCGAAGCGACGAGAGATAACGGGGACGCGAACAAACGGCTAAGTCAATACAAGTGAAACGCAACTTAAACATAAAAAGTTTTAACGCTACTTTGAGAAAAAACAAATAAAAGCTCTACATAGCTGTACAAATAATTTTTACAAATACTTTTCATAAGAAAGTAAAAAAGAAATGAAGAAAGTATGGATAAATGACGACCTAGTTGCGCGACATAAATATGTATAATACTTGTATACCGTTTCGTTATTGAGTTGCGTGTATTCGCAAACGTCGTGCAAACTCGGGCAAATCAAATTTCAGGCATCCCGACCCGGGGATTCGGATATCTAAAAGGTGCATGCAAATGCGAATATGCAGACACACTTTGGGGAGGGTGGATACCGTACCGGCAGCCGTACGAATACGGAGGAAACGAGAGGAAACGGCGGATATCCTGATGATCCCCCGCGCAATTTACATGAGCGAAGGCGTGACAGATTCTCCCTATAAATCGCCGAATAACAAATCAATAAGGACGCTTTTATTTGCGGCGCGGCCGTGGCGCGGCGGCTTCCATCCTTGCCATATGAATTCGGTAAAATTGGGTAAAATATACGAGATATTCCTCGCCGCTCTTTTTCCCCAGCCGCACATTCCCTTGTAACTAATATCTTTGCGGCAAAAATATATCGTTTTCTCTCTTCCAATGCTTTCAAAAAATTCCGTTCCGCAGTGATTAATACGAAATGTATGATGCTCGAAAATATTTTCGACGATAGAATGCCGTTATTACGTGAAAAAAATATCACTTCTATTTTATTTAACACACTTTTTCAGTCCCTCGTTCGGAAAAAATGTCAAATTTTGCCCCATTTTTGCACGCGCCATTATTTTCTTCCTCCGTATGTTGACGTAATCGAGTCGAATAGTCGAAAACGCTCAACAACGGTCCGCATGCAGATGCCCTCTTCGAGGCGCGCACACAAGACAGTATCCGCATCAAGAGCACGCGCCCCTTCGTACGACTCTTGTAAAACCCTCGTCGATGCAGCCCGCGCGCGGTTCCCCTTTAATTAGAAAAAAAACCCTCGCGAGCCGACCTCGCGCTCTCGGCTTGGAGAAGCGCGGCCGCGGCGAGAGGTCGTCAACATCCACTTTCGCGCCGAGCCGCGGCTGTGCCGTTATCTCTCAAATCTCCTTTCATCCCCGCTCTTCATCCCTCCACTCAGGTGGGCTCACGCTTAAGATGAGAGTGTGCGTTCGATCGAGCATTGTGTTTCGAGCATGTCCGTTAAAAAAGTTCGCCCGAAGGATTGACTAGACTGTTCACCGAGGGTGATCTTCCGAGTGACGTCCGGCCGATTAAACTGCTCGGCGAGGATAAAAAGACACTTAACCGCGGAAGGGGAGAAAGAGAGAGAGAGATTTTACTTTCATTTTACTGTTGTAAAATTTGTTTTAGTTACTACTTTCTGATTCTTCGCGTTTCTGCAAATTTACATTTTCTATATAAAAGCTTGCTCCGCTCTGCAAAAGTTTCTCTTAGTAATCTCTGAGTTCCTTTTCTTATATACTTAAACTTATTTTGCAATCTTACATCTCGTTCTTACAGAAACATTACAATCTTTCGAAAGACTTCTTCGGACGTGCAAAACGAAGAGTCACTTTCCCGCTTCGCTTTTCCGACTGCTGGAAACTCGAGTCTCTTACTATGAAATATTGGCTTTACTTCCGGTTAGTTCCTGAATCCTACGAGCACAGCGCGTTACTTTCGAATAAGTGGATTAAAAGGATTTGAATAAGGCGATTAAAGAGTTTCGCCGGTGTAAAGCGAACAAAATGTTGCGACGAGCGTGGAAAGCAGAGGGGCGGTTTACGCTGAAATTTGTATCGGGGGACACGAGGGGGTTGTTAATCGCCAACGCTGAATACGCTGAATTTAATTTCTGCTTACTTTATCCTAAAAGACTTCCATCGGAGACAAAATACTTTGTTGTATCTAAAATATAGGGATCTACGTTTTGATAAAAATACTTTCCAAGGTACGAGTAATAATTTTTTAACATTTAACTGCGTGTTTTGCGGTTCTTAAAGTTTCTTCGACACTGACGGCGATAAGCGACAAAGGATAGCTTTGTTTTCTCTCTTTCTCTCTCGCTGCCCTTCGTCCATTCACTCAACTCCCCGATCTAGTGAGAAAAAGAGGGAACACATGCCGCGATATTCCCATCGGGCATTGCCACGCGCCACGGGTTTTCCCTTATCGACGAAATCGGAAAAAGACGGTGCTATACTCACTGTGGAACCTGTTTCCCCGCATAGACAGGACCTGATGCATTCTCTGGAGAGTTTCTTTGGTGGCCTTCTCGTGCTTGTCGCGTGCCCGCGCCTGCAATCTCACTTCCATGTCGGCCGAGCAGCACACCTCGCCGCCGCTCCTCGCGCTGCCGCATACTTTAAGCTCCTTCGCTATATGAACAGAAGAAAAAAAACTTAGGTTAGTGAAAAATATCCTAACGAGACAGTGAAGCGATCGGCACGTTCGACAGGATCCAGAAATTCTACCGCCTGTGGCAAATTAAAATTATATGTATATACATCTTTCTTCTTCTTATTTTCTTAAGACCCTGTTAAACTGCCGACGTATCTTTCATTACCCGCGTAAATTATATTATGTTTCTAATTTCGTCGAAAAATTTATGGAAATATTTTCTCTTTTATTATGAAAGTATCTAGTATCCTTAATGTTTATTCTTAGCTCGCAAAAATCTTAGAAGAAGTTTGCCGACCTCTGTTCTAACATCATAGGTGAGAAAGAATAACTAAATAATAAGTGTTATAATAATAAAATATTATAACTTGAACTGTTAATCAGAATATATAAACAAACTAATTTTTTTTTATACAAAGTCAAAATAAGATTGCAACTGAATACAATAAAAGCTTTAAATGAACGCAATGAAAGAAAAATTGCGCAAGTAATCTCGCTTCTACATTCCTCAATCGGCATTTCCGTCGATGGAAAAACTAAAAACGAAAGGAAAGACAACAGCGAACGAAATGTTTTCAGGCTAAACACCGTGACTGGAGTGTGTTTGAAGAGGAAGGAAAGTCTCGGTGTGAAAAGCTCGTTGAGACTTTCGGTAAATGCAATTTAGTTTTAAGAATCTGAGGGTATCTACGTCTACGTAAGTACACAAAACGCTCAGACTTGAGGAGGACGGAAGACATTGTTTTCCCTCCCGCACGTGTGAGGAGGAGCACACTATTCTGCACACATTCGCATCAACGAGTGTCAAGTCGTAAATTAAGCACAGAAATTACTGTTCCTGTTGGAAGTGGCTCCAGTTTGCCGCTACACTCAGAGAAAAAATCATTGTCATGGCAACTATAAAGTGACAAATATGCAAGTTGTATTCATAGAATTATTTTATATAGTTAAATGAACTATTTTATAGTTATTGCAACTAAATTAATGGTTAAGAAAACTAATATATAATTGTTGCATAAACTTTATTAGAAGAATAACATGGACTATATAATTATAATTCCACGAACTATTTAATAATTAGTGCAACTAAAGTAAGTGGTTAAGAGAACTAATAAATTGTCGCATAAATTTGTTGCATAATTATTGCTGTAACTATATAAATGTGAACAAATAGCACGTCAACTTTTTTTTTATGGTTTATAGAAATCGAAATACTATAGTGATTTGAAATATGTAAATATTGTTAGGTTTACGATCGGCGTAGCCCAACAACGTTCACAATAACGCCACTAGGTAGCGTATGGCGAGAAGAGCTTTCTCGCATTTAAAATACATCCAGCCGTATATATAAGCAGATCTCCCTGCAAAGCAAAAGGCATCTCCTATAGCTAATCATGGTTTGTTGTAATAACGTTTGCTGCTGTAACTAACAAATTTGCTGTTGTTACTAATGTTTTGATGTGGTAGCTATGCATATCTGTCACAAACATTTTATTTAGCAACATACAGTTAGCTATCCCAGCTAATATGTTTCACTCAGCACTAACATGTAAATATTTGTACGAATTGGTATGTGAGCTATACATTTAGGTATGGCACACAAGCGTTTGTTACTGTCGATCGAAATGTGCGCGCTTTATAAAAAAGAAGAACGTCGACGGCTCGGCGGCGGAGGCGCGCGTGGTTCTCGTCCAGCTATGAAGGACCGGTGATAAGGTGCGATTTCATTGACGCTAGAAACCAGCGGCAGCGTCAAGAAAATGTAGTGGGGGAAGAAGTTCAGACCGTCTCAACTTTTTAACGTACCGCAAAATTCAACGAAACTTCTACCGCCACTACATTTTCTTGATGCTGCCGCTGGTTTCTAGCGTCAACGAAATCGCACCTATAAAGTGATACATCACAGTGATACGTGCGTGCGGTACTGCGGAGGCATATCGTTGTGGCAGTTGTTCCATTCTGTTGTTACTCATATAAATATAGTAATTACTGCTTATTGCTCTTTTGCGTACGCGTATTTACACTTACGGTTGCAACATATTGTTGTCATAGCTATTTATTGCGATGTGTACAGTAGCTAAACGTTTGTGTGTTACAGTCATAAGCTTTCAGCTAATTAAAATAGATCTTGCAGCTAAAATTTTAAGTGTCCCTATATTACACCGCAAATTTAGCTACCATACCTTAATTTTAGCTATGGTGGCTAATCTTTTTTTACTGTTTACTCAAAATGCAGTAATTTTAATTCGCTCCGGGCGAGAAGTCTCAGTATCTTTTTTCCTTAATTCTTAATAACATCTTATTTGTCAAGAACTATGTTATATTGCCGATCTTTTAATAACAATACTGCAATTCTGAGTAATTGTGACAGCGGTTACGGCGAAAATCCGCGACGCCAATTCGCAGCCAATCTATCGCGTCGGCGATGCGATAAATCGCGCGGATAAATCGCCGTGTTTATCGTCGAAGCATAAAGCAACGGGAAGGGCGTTAATCGAGCGTGTCGAAACGTTCTAAAATTCATCGGTAGATTCCGCGGGTGGGGTGAAAATCGCTTCTGTAGGCGCGATAGAAATCGTTCGGAGATAAGTGCCATTGTTAGGCACAAAACAGGAAACATTCCACGGGATTCTCCCCATCCGCCTCGTCTACCGCTTCTTCGGTGTTTCGGGGGGGAGGCGAGTAACGCGTGCATTTTTGGGGATGAAACGATCCGTCCAATGAAAGAGAGGGTGTCCTCGCTTCCTCGAGGGCACTCGGAAACGCGGAGGGTAAATTTGGAGGCGTCCGCGCTCTCGGATGTTCAAAACGCACACACACGCGCACCTTCGCACGCGCCGCAGAATTATACAGCTCGTAATCCTTTGCAACGCCTCGCGGAGTAATTACCGGATTCGCGTCGTCGCTTTAATCCTCTTAGCGCGCTGAAGGGCGCCCGCTACTCGTGGTTAAAAAAAAAGTTATACGCGCACGGTGGAAATAAGATTTTAATATTTTTTAAATTAAATATTATAATTATTTTTTACACCACAATTCTTGGCATTAATCACCAATATATGACAAATGATAAAGAATTCACTCGTGATGAACATCAATGCAATTTCAAGTCCACGTTTGCCGAAGCAATTTCGAGCGAACGAGCGGTGAACAAATACGAATGAGCAACTTGCCCCGATGTGCTCTCGACGTTATTCGTCCTCACTGAAGCGAACTGTTCATTTGTGTTTGTTCACGCTCGTTTGCTCGATCCAGCCTTACGGGATAAGCCTGTGTAACGATCGCGGAGTCGTCGTTTAAACGACAACGATCGGCCATTTCGCTCGTCGCGACGAGCGCACAGCTGATCGAATCGTCGGAATCGCGTTTCGAGAGGCGCGTAATTGAGTTAAGCTCCCTGGCGAGACTGAGTCGCGAAAACGACGTTTGCACACACGCGGCACACAGATTCGCGCGCAATTTTCCCATGGGTGTTGCGAATAAACCGGTAAGACGCAGCGGCTACCGAGGCCTGACTTTGCCGCCGGAGTTCCTTCCCGCGAGATTGCTTTTCCTTCGTAAGTTCCTTCCATTATGGAATAGAGCGCGACGAATGTGTGTTTTCGTACGTGTGTACAAGAACGTCGAGTCAATAGACGGTAATGTTCGTCTTAATTTTCCATTAAACAAAATGTTAAGTATACTAAACTAAAATATTTCCAATTGCATAAAAGGCGTACATACACGTCAGATTACTTTTAAATAGCATAACAATATTTTGACTGTAATGAGATTATAAAGTTAATTTTGGAAATAAATAATTTGCAATTTGATTGTAATTAATTGATTGATAAGTGTAATGAAAAATTATTTAGCAAGTAAAGTATGGCTATCAAGGCTGTGTGTGATGCGTATAATAATAAAATTAAATTTATGTTAATGACAAGCAAGTTCTATAATAAAAGATGTAAGTTATTATGTACTTAATAATTTATTTGATGTCTCTAATTCAGGAAGTAGATACAAGAGCTTCATACTGATAGTGAGTATGATGCTCTTGTATCTGCTTCTTAAATTGGAGACATCAAATAAATTATATTAAGTAACGTAAATCAATGCGCGGTTCGTGACACTCATCGAGCGCGTCTTCGCCCACAACAGAAATGCTGCCACGATATGAGACAACCGCGCGTCCCGATCGGGTTACTCCGTTGCTGGACCAAAATTGGATTACTTTTCTCGTTAACTTTTCGCATCGGTGGAGGGCAAGTTGGATAGGAGTGACGGGGAACGCGGGGAACGCGCGGAGCCCGGAGGAGAGGGCGATAGAGAAAAGAATGACACGGGCAATCCCGCGGAAATGAATCGGGATTACTTTTACGACGTGTCTCCAAGTTCCCAATGAGCGTGGCAGCGCGAATGGGGGAGGTTTTTGTGAGGAACGCGCGTAAAGGAAGGGTTGAGTGTAAAATTAGCTTAGACTTTGCGGCATTGGCGAGCAGCTATATAAGAGCTGATAAAAGCGATCGAGGGTAACGGTCGCCGAGTTCCGGCCAAATCGTCCGGATCGATAGGCAAGCAAGCGGTTTATTCGCAGCGACACCGAATAGACGGGCGACATTCGGGAAGGAGCGATTTATGACGTTGGATCCTATTTCTTCTTCGCTTCTCTATATCCGCAGCTATTTCGCCGGTCAATAAAAAAACTTGCCGAATAGTTCAGTGCTCCAACAAATAACACAAGACTTCCATACTTCTCGTCGCCCGCGAAAAATCCAGACAAGTCGTACATGTCAGAAACAAGTTCGTTTTGTCTCCATTGTACGTTTATTTTTACATTAAAAGTTCGCATCGAAGAGTTTCGCGGCATTTTTTCGAGACGCACCTTTTTCCTCAGACGCAAATATCCGTCTCTATATCTCCAGGAATCTAATATCCTT